CATTACTATGATCCTCACACTTCTATGGTCCTCACACTTCTATCGTCCTCACTCTATTATGGTCCTCACACTATAATGATTCTCACACTACTACAGTCCTCACACTACTACGGTCCTCACACTACTACGGTCCTCACACTACTACGGTCCTCACACTACTATGGTTTTCACACTTGTGTGGTACTCACTCTGCTATGGTTCTCACACTACTATGGTCCTCACTCTAGTGTGGTACTCACACTAGTGTGGTACTCACACTGGTATTGTCCTCACACTAGTGAGGTCTTCACACTACTATGGTCCTCACATTGCTATTGTCCTCACACTACTATGGTACTCACACTACTATGGTCCTCACACTAGTGTGATCCTCACACTACTATGGACCTCACACTAGTGTGGTCCTCACTCTACCATGGTCCTCACATTACTGTGGTCCTCACTCTACTATGGTACTCACTCTACTATGGTCGTCACACTATTGTGGTTCTCACATTACTATGGTCCTCACTACTATGGCCCTCACACAATAGTGTGGTCTTCACGCCACTATGGTCCTCACACTAGTGTGGTCCTAATACTTCTATGGGCCTCACACTACTTTGGTCCTCACACTACTATAGTCCTCACTCTCTTATGGTCCTCACACTATCATGGTTCTCACACTACTATGGTCCTCACACTACTATGATTCTCACATTAGTGTGGTCCTCACACTACTATGGCCCTCTCACTACTATGGTCCTCATACTACTATGGTCCTCACACTACTGTGATCTTCACACTACTGTGGTCCTCACACTACTATGGTCCTCACACTACTATGGTCCTCACACTACTGTGGTCCTCACACTACTATGGTCATCACACTATTATGGTCCTCACACAAGTGTAGTCCTCACTAGTACGGTCCTCACACTACTGTGCTCCTCACACTACTATGGTCCTCACACTACTATGGTCATCACACTATTATGGTCCTCACACAAGTGTAGTCCTCACTAGTACGGTCCTCACACTACTGTGCTCCTCACACTACTATGGTCCTCACACTACTATGGTCATCACACTATTATGGTCCTCACACAAGTGTAGTCCTCACTACTATGGTCCTCACACTACTGTGCTCCTCACACTACTATGGTCCTCACACTACTATGGTCCTCACACTACTATGGTCCTCACACCACTATGGTCCTCACACTAGTGTGGTCTTCAAACCACTATGGTCCTCACACTAGTGTGGTCCTCACACTACTATGGTCCTCACACTAGTGGGGTTCTCACACTACTATGGTCCTCACACTAGTGGGGTTCTCACACTACTATGGCCCTCACAGTACTTTGGTCCTCACACTACTATGGTCCTCACACTATTATGGACCTCACACTTCTATGGTATTCACAATACTATGGTCCTAACACTACTATGGTCCTCACACCACTATGGTCCTCACACTAGTGTGGTCCTCACTCTACTATGGTTCTCACACTACTATGGTCCTCACACTATTGTTGTCCTCACACCACTGTGATCCTCTCACTACTTTGGTCCTCACACTTCTATGGTCCTCACACTACTATGGTCCTCACACTGCTATGGTACTCACAGTACTATGGTCATCACAGTACTATGGCTCTCACACTATTATGGTCCTCGCACCACTGTGGTCCTCACACTACTTTGTCCTCACACTACTATGTTCCTAACACTTCTATAATCCTCACACTTCTATGGTCCTCACACTAGTGTGGTCCTCACACTACTATGGTCCTCACACTACTATGGTCCTCACACTACTATGGTCCTCACACTACTATGGTCCTCACACTAGTGTGGTCCTCACTCTACTATGGTTCTCACACTACTATGGTCCTCACACTATTGTTGTCCTCACACCACTGTGATCCTCTCACTACTTTGGTCCTCACACTTCTATGGTCCTCACACTACTATGGTCCTCACACTGCTATGGTACTCATAGTACTATGGTCATCACAGTACTATGGCTCTCACACTATTATGGTCCTCGCACCACTGTGGTCCTCACACTACTTTGGTCCTCACACTACTATGTTCCTAACACTTCTATAATCCTCACACTTCTATGGTCCTCACACTACTATGGTCCTCACACTACTATGGTCCTCACACTACTATGGACCTCACACTAGTGTGGTCCTCACACTTCTATGGTCCTCACACTACTATGGTCCTCCCACTACTATGGTCCTCATACTTGTGTGGTCCTCTCATTTGTGTAGTCCTAACACTATTATTGTCCTCACACTAGTTTGGTCCTCACACTAATATGATCCTCACACTAATGTGGTCCTCACACTAGTGTGTTCCTCTCACTATTGTGGTCCTCACACTACTATTGCCCTCACACTAGTGTGGTCCTCATACTGCTATGGTCGTCTCACCACTGTGGTCCTCACATTAATGTGGTCCTCACACTATTATGGTTTCTCACACTACTATGGTCCTCACACTAATGTGGTCCTCACACTAGTGTGGTCCTCACACTACTATGATCCTTACACTACTATGGTCCTCATACTGGTATCTCCCTCACACGAGTGTTGTCTTCACACTACTATTTTCCTCACAGTACTGTGATCCTCACACTAGTGAGGTTCTCACTCTACTATGGTCCTCACTCTACTATGGTCCTCACACATCTATGATCCTCACAATACTATGGTCCTCACACTAGTGTGGCCCTCACACTAGTGTGGTCCTCACACTAGTGTGGTCCTCACACTAGTGTGGTCCTCACACTAGTGTGGTCCTCACACTAGTGTGGTCCTTTCACTATTATTGTCCTCACACTAGTGTGGTCCTCACCCTACTATTGTCCTCACGTTACTATGGTCCTCACTCTAGCGTGGTCCTCACGCTAGTGTGGTCCTCACTCTACTATTGTCCTCACCCTAGTGTGGACCTCACACTACTATGGTCCTCACACTTGTGTAGTCCTCACACTACTTTGGCTTCTCACACTACTATGGTCCTCACACTAGTGTGGTCCTCACACTATTATGGTCTTCACACTACTATGGTCCTCATACTAGTGTGGTCCTAACACTACTATGGTCCTCACAGTACTATGGTCCTTACACTAATGAGGTCCTTTCACTACAATGGTCCTCACACTACTATGGTCCTCACACTTTTATGGTCCTCACACTAGTGTGCTTCTCACACTACTATAGTCCTCGCACTACGATGGTCCTCACACTACTATGGTTCTGTCACTAATATTGTCCTCACACTACTATGGTCGTCTCACTAATATGGTCCTCACATCGCTATTGTTATTCTCTCCCAGAAACTTTAATTCCTTCCTCATGCTGCTAATTCTGTCCCAAACGCTTTTATTTACGTCCTTCAGCTGCTAATTCTGTCCCAAATACTGTTAATTCCGTCCCAAACTATACAAATTCTGTGGCATACTATAGTGAGGCCCTCCCTCAGGTAACTAATTTTGCACTTTCATCTCTGGCCGCTAATTACTGCCCTCACCTGCTGACACCACAGCTGGTGCCACAGTCAGCCTCCTGGGTGCCAACCACTGCTTGACTGATTTACTTCAGAGTGCCAAACACAGCTTGACTGACCCATTCCTGGATGTCATCCATAGATTGACTGATACAGTACTGGGTGCCAACCACAGCTTGACTGACACATTATTCCTAGGTGCCAACCACAGCTTGACTGACACATTATTCCTAGGTGCCAACCGCAGCTTGACTGACACATTATTCCTAGGTGCCAACCACAGCTTGACTGACACATTATTCCTAGGTGCCAACCACAGCTTGACTGACACACTATTCTTAGGTGCCAATCACAGCTTGACTGACACATTGCTACAGTAGTAGCAGTAAGCATAGTCAGTCAGAGGCTGCTACTGTCAGCAGCGTTGTTCCTCAAGGTTCACTATTCGTACCTTTGCCCCATCATCCTCATATCTGACATAGATGGGGACATAATTCATAACACTGTATCATCCTTTGCAGACGATACTAGTATTTGCATGAGAGTGTCGTTGATGAGAGACACATCAACTAAGTCTTCCAGTGGGCCACATAAACAACATGATTTTCAGCGAAGTCAAATTTCAGTAACTTTTTTACGGAAAATTTTAAGAAAATGAAAAGTGAAAAGAATAGAAGCAATTCTAACTTACAAAATTACGCGAAGGATTTAGGAGTGATAATGTCAGAGGATCTCACCTTGAAGGATCATAATATTGTCATTATCACAGCTGCAAGGAAATGAGAGGATAGAAAATGCGAACCTTCAGAACAAGAGATGGCAAGCCATTGATGGTCCTCTTTAAGTCACTTGTTCTCTCGAGGCTGGAACATTCCTGTACACTAACAGCCCACTTTAAGGTGGGTGAAATTGCACATCTGGAGAATATCCAGAGAATCTTCACTGTATGTATAAGCTCAGACACCTAAATTACCTGAAATGTAATAATAATAGTAATAATAATAATAATAATAATAATAATAATAATAATAATAATAATAATAATAATAATACATGAGCAGACATTGATCAAAAAAATCCACTTTAACCTAACTTCTGTCATGATTCTCACTTGAAATATCTGACTATAATTGAGTGTTTTACGTCTCGAACACTTCGTGAACAAAAAGAGGCCAAAAAATATTTTGATTATGAGAAAAACAACAGTACAACAATATGAATCATAGAGAAACCAGCAACAAAAGCAAACAGGAAATAAATTAGAAAACCTACTCATTATTACGGATCTTATTCATAGAGAAATTCAGTGGAAAGGGAAAAAAAATTAAACAGACAAAAGGACAAGAAATTAGGCAACAGAAAATGAGACTTAAGAACGAATAATAAAAAATTATGAGAATTAGATACTTGTCAACTCTGTTAATTCCTCTCAGTATTTTGTACGTCGTTATCATGTTATCCTGGTACTTCTGCCTTTTAATGGCTCTCCTCGTAGCCCATACTTCTTAGCTCTGGGGCTTCTCTCCTTGCAAACCTCTGCAGTGTGTGTGTATGTATGTGTGGGGGGGGGACGTGTGTGGTCGGTTGTGTGTGTGTGTGCGTTTGCGGGCATGTGTGTGTGTGTGTGTACGTGGCGCGGGAGGCAGTGTCCGGACATGGACGGCAGTGTGCTTCGTTCCTGGGACTTGCTCACACGGCCGCGCGCCACTCCGTACACCCGTGTTGCGCCCGTATATTGCAGCGAGTGTTGTGCCAGTACACTGTAAGGAGTGTGTTGACAGTGAAGTGTACCGAGTATTACGACCGAGTACTGTAACGAGTACTGCAACCTTGAACTGTAACCTGAGTTTTGTGCTGTATTTTTCAACGAGAGTTGCGCCCATACACTCTAACGAGTGAATCACTCTCGTGCTCTAATAAGTGTTGGACAGTGTGCTGTAACTTGAGTTTTGTGCACGTGTACTCTAGCCTGAATTTTGTGCCCTTATAATACAGCGAGTTTTGTACCCGTATTATGGGTGAGACACACGCAATCGCTGAGATACGCTCGTCTAGCGGGTAAGTGTCGTGGATGTGCTGTGACTGACTGCCGTGACAGCCGTTACATTCATGTCAGAGACTCTCACATGACTCACATGCTTAACGTCGAATTGTAAAAACATTGTCGGGGAATCTAGTTATCTTGAGTTCGACTGCGCTAAGTATCGAAGATCTTCTGCCGCGACGGGAACAAGAGTCGACGCCGAGGGACGGCGAGATCGAGGGCGAGGCCAGCCAGGTGTTGGTCAGCACGGATAATCTTTCCAACTTGGGAAAGGTCTTAGGAGAGACGTCCCGCGTCAGGCTGACGTCCGCTGGAGACACTAGCAGAGACTCACCGCCTGTGGTGACGTCACTGCCATTACTGAGCCTCCCGCAGGCAGCTCCTGAGCCCAGCAACGTGTGTGAAGGGCGTGTGTGCGAGGGGCGGGCGTGTGGACGACCGCGTGAATGCAGCGGTGACGGCGGGATGAAGGTGAGCGGTGGCGAGGCTGCGGGCCCCGTGCTGCCAGTGTGGCAGACGCTGAAGGGCCTCAGCTCCAGGGACGTGCAGTGCAGCAGCCCTACTAGCCCCGGCTACCAGCAACAGCAACAACAACAGCAGCAGCAGAGTGTGCATGGCTCCAACATGGCTGCTGAGCGTCTTGCTCGCCGAGATTCATGTCCCCTAGATGCCCCTTCGTCTTCTTCTTTTCCTTACCCAGGAAGGAACCCCCCCTTGCCCCAACTGCTGATTCCTGAGGGAGATCGCTCACCAGGGCTCCTTAATGGCTCGGTGGCCCCGCCTCTTTCAGCGCCTCCTATTGTCTCCACGGGAGAGGGTCCTGCTCGACCTCTGTGGGGGCCACCATCGTCATCAACGACCTCTACCTCACTCTCCAACACAAATCTTGCCCTTCACAACAACAACAATAACAATAATCATGTCGTCAGTAACAACAACGTCAGCTACGCGACTTCTCCCAAGGAGGAAGAAGAGGACGTGGAAACACCGAGCGTCTTCAGGTGAGTGTTAGGACTCGGGCAGGTGTACCTGACCAAGCCTCTCCTGCATCATAGCCTCTTTCCCCAGGCTTACCTCTTAGTTTAGTATCCCCTTCCTTCTTAGTGTCAGCTTTACCCCTTCCTATAGACCCTCTATTGGTTATCACTTGCACTATTGTACACACTGTATTACTGGCAATACAGTGCGGTCACCTTTTATGTGCCAAACGGAAACTTTTCTTAATAAAGAGTGGGTCGATTTTAAGGTTTTGAAGCTATGGAAAATGTTTATTCATTAAAATCCTTAACTAATATTCAACTACAGCGTTTATCGTCCTCAGTGTAACAAATAAATTAAACCTTCGAGAATGCAAATTCTTCGCATATCCACAAGAAAAATACGCAAGTCCAAAGCAATACACGAACCCGAAGCAACAAACGAACACGAAGTAACACACGAACTCGCACCAATACACGATTCCGAAACATCGCACGAACTGAGGGAAAAAAAGGCACGTACAGATCTTTTTTCTTTTCAGACATCAAATTCCCTTTTTATTACCGCCTGTCGAAAACCGTTAAGTGTTGCTGAATGTATTGTGTTTTAAGAGGCATGTGGAGGCACGAATCCAGTCCAGAGTTTTAACGAGCTTTATACAGCCCGCGTACATACAACAAGATTTATGTGTAAGATTTCAACAGCTGGGAAGATTGATACGATTGTAGTGACGACTTGGACCACGAAAAAAAAAACAGCATGAAGTCTAGTCTGCAAAGTTGTCTGAAGATCCAAGTCTTCGATAGATGGAAGCAGCTGCAGAGTTTGAAGTATTCGATAGATGGAAGTGCTGGAGAGTTCAAGGTTTTCAGTAGATGGAATCACTGGAGAGTTTGTAGTGTTCGATAGACGAAAGTGCTGGAGAGTTTGACATGTTCGATAGATGGAAGCACTGGAGAGTTTGAGGTGTTCGATAGATGGAAGCGCTGGAGAGTTTGAGGTGTTCGATAGATGGAAGTGCTGGAGAGTTTGGAGTATTCGATAGATGGAAGTGCTGGAGAGTTTAAAGTGTTCGATAAAAGGAACAGCTTGATAGGTCGAAAAGCTAGATAAATGGGGGTTCATGATAGGTCGAAGTGCTTGATAGGTTCAAGTGCTTGATAGGTGGAAGTGTTCTATAGGTGGAGGTGCTTGACAAGACTAAGTGCCCGCGAGGCTGAAATGCTTGTTAATCGAAGTGTTCAATAGTAGAATTACTTGACAGACGAATTGCTTAATAGTCGAAAGGTTGATAACCACAGAGCTTCAACACTTCAGTAAGTTGAAGTGCTCAACACCTGAAGTATTTGATAGTCGAAGTGATCGATAGTCGCAGTAATAGGTATTTGACCTGCACAGTAGTTGCAGTAATAGGTATTCGAGGTTTTTGATAGTCGCTGACATAGATAGACGAGGTGCTCAATAGTCGTAGTAATAGATAGTCGAGGTACCTGATAGTCGTAGTAACAGACAGTCAATTCGAGACATCGAAGTACTCTAAAGATCTTCGTTCTCGAGAAGCTACTTTGTCGAGGGCCGAAGTTTTCGATATATAATCCTACGAAGCTACGACATTGGAAAGACGGTCAAGGAGTGTCTGGCGCCAGGTGAGGCAGATGTGAGAAGACCTCCGTCACATGACCAGAAACTGTAATAATGTTGGTAGAATTACCGTTTATATGTAGATTAAAAGGACACAAGTGCAACTAATGTGACATTTTTATTGTGGCAACGTTTCGCTCTCCAAAAGCTTTGTCAAACCGTTACAAACAGTACATGGACACAGAGGATATATATAGGCTCAGAGTGAGGTGCAATACTAGTGGTAGTAGTAGTAGTAGTAATAAGTTGTAGTAGTAATACAACATGGTAGAACAATTAACTTGCACATGAGTAAACGGATATAAAAGTTCCTGGAGAGCGAAACGTTGCCACAATAAAAATGCCACTTTAGTTGCACCTGTGTCCTTTTACTTTACATGACCAAAACCTGCAGCAGCGGGTCATCATATGACTAAGACTCGCATCAGGAAACACTTGTCCTGTTTCCTGACAAACCTTACCTAACCTAACGAAGATATGAGAGGTACAAACTTACGTAAATTTTTATTTTCAGTGTGGTATTGACGAGAGTCAGTTAATTTAGTGGTATAAGTTTGTACAGTTAAAGGTGTGTATGTATACTGCGTGATGTTTATATACACTGAGAGGTGTGTGTACATGCTAAGGAGCGTGTATATGTAGACTGAGAAGTGTGTATATAGACTGAGAAGTGTGTATATAGACTGAGAAGTGTGTATATACACTAAAAGGTGTATATATAGTATATATATATATATATATTACATATATATATAAGAATGGAGGAACACTGCAGGCGGCCTACTGGCCCAGGCAGATAGATAGATAGATACGCACCGAGTCTTTACGTCAGTTTTTATTTACAAAAGTAAACTGATGTTAGCGTACAGGTTAATTTCGGGCTTAATGATCCACATACAGGTGAGAAGTCTTGATAACTCTCGAAAATAACCTTGTGACAGGTGTGCAGGTCACATGTGTAGTGCTAAATCTTGAAATCATGAACGCCTGATTAATGATAGGTTTGATCCAAGGAAGCGAATGGAGGTTCCTTGGACCAAGATCCTCTTTTATCGTCCTGTTGATAAACATGACGTGTTTTTATATCACTCTCAGGTGTTTGCATGTGTCATTTCACTGTTACAGGTGCCATGTCACCGTTTAAGGTGTCATGTTACAGTTCACAGGTGTCATGACACAGTTACAGATGTCATGTCACCATCACCTCGACATGACACTTGCATTGAGTTTCACCTATTTGAACATGACGCCTGCACCGTCACCCTCCTCTCTTTCTCTTTCTCTTTTTCTCTCTCTCTCTCTCTCCCTCTCAACTGAGAGAGGGAGAGGGAGAGAGAGAGAGAGAGAGAGAGAGAGAGAGAGAGAGAGAGAGAGATTATGTGTCTAATAGCTCGTGTCATGCACTGAAGCGATCTCATTGCACAGGTTCATAAAAATACTCTGGCGGCCACAGCACAGCACATACATACAGAAAGCCACATCCAGTGTGGTGTTAGACATCTAGAAGCAGGAGAGGTTCTGACGGTCTGAACTGTTCTTACAAAGTTAGTGTGACTTTGTAAATGGTTCAACTCGGACCGAAACGTCGTCACAAGCTCCTCTCTCCTATGTGCGGGTTATTTATGTTTTGTTCCAGTCACGGTATTGTGCCTTTGTTTTTCCATTTGGGAACTTTAACTCAGGAAACGTTTCGCCAGTCAGTGGTTTCTTAAGTTCAATACATCACACTTAGCTGGTTACCCACATACCAAGATGGTGCACTTATCCTTGCAAGCAATGATCCACACTTGCTAGTTATGTTTGGTTAATGTCACATACAAGGTGACTTACGCTGGTCGCACATTGCACCGCCCACCTTCGGTACTCGTGATATCCTGAGAGATGGTAATTCCCAAGTGATATCACCTCCAGCTATCCTGGAAGGAAGCCGTTGAAGCTTCCATTGTTGTTGAATCCTTGCTGGAATGCTTGATGAAGTCTCCCAGCTCAGGCTTACAGATTTCAACACCTTGTATGAGCCCCATCCCCCGTGATGGAATATGACAGGGAAACGTACCTAGTTTTTGTTACTACCGTGTAATTATCATATATAGCAACACAACACTGCTCATGTATCCGATTTTGCTAAAAAAAAGTAATAGTAAATACAATAAGTAGATATGAATTACAAAATACTATCACATGGTCAGCGAGGATTAAGGAATCGTAAGAGGCTTCCAGGTGAATTAACTAAGTTGTTGTGGTCACCTGAGCTATTGTTGTGGTGGTGCAAGTCTTGATGCAAGGTACATCCTTACCTCACCCTTCGAGGGACAGCCTTGATGCCGTTGAAGGGCTTTTGATCCAAAGATGTGAGAAGGAGGGATGTGCTGTGCTCTTTACTGGCAGACAGTATTGTGTAGTCAGGGTGTCAGCACCTGTGTCAATTAGTTATTAATGGTTCTTCATTAGATGTGAATTTTCCTGCAGAATTTTGGACTTTTATTCAAGACAGATGTCATGACTCTTGAATTCATAACAACACGATTGCAAACAAACCACGGAACGGGTGGGGTGTGAACTCATGGCGAGTGAGTCGTAAAATTCCAGGCCAGTGCGTAAGCCACTGGCCTGGAGTGGTTTACTCACTGGCCTTGAGTTTTACGACTCTCTCCATGGGTTCAGGCCCTTCCCGTTCTGTGGTTTGCTTAGATGTTATTCATTGCTTGCAACATATTTTATTAACCTCACGGATGAAATTCGTGTCACATTTTTTTTCTGTATACATTACATGTATTTTTTTTATATGTAAATGTCAGTGGATAGCAACTTAACTTTATACATACATATGTATAAATATTTCTGTAGATGTGAACGAGGACATTTGTTACCTCAAAGCTTATACCACAATTTTACATATATATCATTACATATAAACTTATTCTGACTGAAAATATTGTTTCCAAATCTGCACACTGAAATAGTTCCTTGCCAGGTCATAAGACTTACCAGTGTTCCTTCATCACAAGACACCTGCGTACACGATCAATCTGAGACCACCGATGAGTTAACGATGCCATGAGTGTCAATGGTTTAAATACTGTAGTCAAGTAAGTTGAAGCAGGCGTAGGCAGAGTCACAGTGGAACCATCCACTAGTGTAAGTAGATCTTCGTCCAAGGGTTGGACAAGTGTACACTTGTTCAACCTCTGAGACCTAGATGGTTTCACTGTGGTTAATCAGTAATAGTAGAACGTAGCAATTTGTGCCTCTATAGAAATTTTATATTATCTTCATCAAGTATTTGCAAGTAACTTGTTCAATCTGCCGAAGTTCCTTTAGATGATTCCGTGGTTCTCCACATAATCCTGTCGACGATATGCAAGACCGATGTAGTTAACTG